TTCCTGCAGCTCCACATTGTAAAGGGGGGCAAAAATTGGGGTCTGGGGGTTCTGTTGGGGGCTGAGGGGTCCAGGGAATTTGGGGGGGTCAGGAATTTGGGGGCGCTGAGGGGTCCAGGGGATCCTCAGGAGATCTCCAGGGGTTCCCGGTCAAGGCTGGACTTGCTGATTTCCCACAGCTCCACGTCATAAAAAGGGGATAAAATTTGGGGTGCAGGGGGCTCGATGGGGGTCCTGGGGGGCTCCAGAGTTGGGTGACATCCCGAAGCACCGCAGGGAGGGAAAAATTTGGGGTTCTGGGGGTCCTGAGGAGAGAAGTTTGGGGGTCTGGGGAGGGGCTTTGCGCGTTCTGTTAAAATCCAAATGTGGCGACTTCCACCAAGGGAGGCCAAAATTCGGGGGTGCGGGGGGGGGGAAGGGCTCGGTGGGACAGGCACCCACCCGTGTGCCCCCCGCCCGTCCCCCCGCAGGTTCAGGGGGCCGTGGGGGTCCTGTTCAACGTGGGCACCGAGGACATCGCGCTGGAGGAGCGGGGGGCGGCCGTCAGTGACGGGCGATTCCACGTCGTCCGCTTCACTCGCAGCGGCGGCAACGCCACGCTCCAGGTGGACGGCGGCCCCCTGCACGAGAGATACCCGCCAGGTACCCCCCTGCCACAGCCCGGGCACCCCCAGGGCCCCCGACACACCCCACACACACTCAGGGCTCCTGCAGGCACTACAGGTGTTCCCCAGGTAACCCCCAGGTACCCCCAGGGCTCTTAAAGACACAGCCCAGGTACCCCCAGGTGTTCCCCAGGTGTTCCCCAGGGCTCCTGCGGACCCTACAGGTGTTCCCCACGTACCCCCAGGTACCACCCAGGGCTCCCACAGACACGCCAGGGACACCCCGGGTGCTTGGGGACACCTCAGGACACCCCCAAAGCCACCTCAGGGTGCTCAGGGACACCCTGGGACACCCCCATGGCACCTACAGGAACCCCAGGGCACCTCTGGACCCCCCCAAAGCCCCTCCATGGCACCTTCGGACACCCCAGGGTCCCCCCAGGTGCTTGGGGACACCCCAAAGGCACCTTCAGACACCCCAGGGTCCCCCCAAAGGCACCCAGACCCCCCC